AAAAAAAAAAAAAAAGATCGAAATTCTCCCACCCGAGATAAAAAATAATAATAAAAAGAAGGGCAAAAAACACACAGCTCTAAGCAGAAATTTGGTTTTCACCTAGCACATCAGTATACATATAATAAAAATTTCAGTTCACTCACCATCTTCTTGTGCATAATTTTCTCAAGTAGTCCAATTGTGTAGGAAGAGCCCCTTGAACCCTCGCGAGCCTGCAGGATTGTTCTGTAAAAAGTTCGTAAGTCGATGCCCTTTTCCAAGGGACTATCCCAAAGTCATCGTTAAATTCCTCCATGCCCTCGACCAGAAACTGCCAGACTAAAGATCCAGCTCCCGACCTGTTTTTTATGGCAGATTTGTAAATTATATCGAGGATCACTTTGTAGAATTTCTCACGTTGTGTGGGGGTGAAATCCTTGTTCAGGGTGGATAATCCGAATTCGGTAAACATTACGGGCTTTTTCAGTTCCTTATCACCATCCTCAATGTGGGATAGCATCCACTTGGAGACGAATTTTAGTTTATATTCGAAGTCCGGATTGTGGGTCCTGCCCAAAAAGTGATTATTAGAAAAGAAAAAAGGAAATTTATTGTATGTTTAAAAGAAAACAGAATGTAAAATGCAAAATATGAACTGATGGGGATGAGGATAAAAAGCAGCTCACCAGTGATCGGGGTAAATATGAACTGATGCAAAATCAATGGTTGAGAGCTTGGAATTGCGAATGAAATCAGTGCCGATATCAGATGCCCAGAACTCGGGATTCACAGTTAATCTTTTAGGACTTTTGGGTCCGTAAAATCCTTCGAGTCCCACAGTTATCAAATGGTTCTTGTCGATTGATTTCACAAAAGTTGACATTTCTTCTATCCAATCCTGCACTTGTAACACACGGTTAAAGATTCAATGATTTTAATATTTAAATAATATTCTTCCATAATAATAATCATTTTTTTCTCGATTGGAAGATGACAAAGTACGCCTTTATAGAAATCACTTACTCAAGGGAGTCATGTTTGAAAATCTCAACTTGCAAGACCATGATATCACAAATAGAACTTTCCAGTGGCAACAATGTAACTAGCACTTTTTAATGTGGTTAAAAATTGAAATAGTTACAAAGAGTGCAAATAAATTTATCAGACCAACCAAATAAATTTGATAACACTCAAAAATAGATTGAATGTCCAGATCATGCTACCTAGAACTGCAGGATAGTGCAAATAACAATGAATTTAGAGAAAAGTTTAGATATAATTAGCAAACATAACTATCAGATGTCGTGCAGTATCATTTTCTATATATTTCACTACAATAAGAAATTTTATACTAACCTGAAGAGTATCACCAGATTTATCAGTTATGCAGCGGGGCTCATTGATTAACTCCCAAGCAAAGATGGTTGGATCATCTCTATACTCAACTCCAGTTATGGTGTTCCTCCTCGTTAGAACAGTCTGCCAAATAATAATAATAATAATAAAGCTGTTAAATAAACTCCAAATATCTGTATGTACTGAAGATGAACTTGAACTTCCATTATAAACAAAAAAAAAAAAAAAAAATGTATGGAAAATGTTATAAAGCAAATCTATGTCAAAAATAAAAAAATTGACACATTTTACCAAAATATTTCACTTTGAAATTCCAGACAGCTAACTAGTAGAAACCATATTGTAAATTTTTATAAGAACTTTTTTCAATTTTCATTTTCAACAATGATGGAAACAATTCTAATCACCACCTTAGCGGTGGATATCAAACTAGAAAGAAGATATGTGTGCCTGAGCTGATTGGTGGGGGGAGACGTGTCACGTTTTCTCAGTTTGCAACATTTATAGTGAAAATGAAGAAAGAAAAAGGAAGTTGACCCCAAGTATTCTTGTTCGCTAGAAGCTTATGTCCTGTTTCCGAGATATAACAAGGTGGGACCACATTTACCGAGAAATTCAATGGAACTTAATATCATATCATAAAATTATTAGCATATAGAAACTTTAAACGTTTGCCAAATTTAGCAAACTAATTTCAAATACTTTCAGGTTATTTCCTGTTCGTTTGTGAGTGCATAAGTAGACGCATATGGACTACGTCAATTTGAGGCCATAGTTTTTTAAAGGATAAAAAAAAAAAAAAAAAAAAAAAAAAAAAAAAAAAAAAAAAAAAAAACAACTATTCAAGATTTAACTTAGATGTCAAGACTTTATCAGCTTATGTCATGATAGAACATGTTGTTCTTTTAACTTAGGAAGAAAACTAAAGGGAGAAAAATGCTATGTTCAGCTAGAAGTCTGGTATCTTTATTAGGATATGTGACAGAATAGGCACACTTCAATTAAGAAGTGTTAACATAATACCAATGGAAAAAATTGTCAATACCATTGTAAGATGCGTAATTGATGGCCAACAAATATTATGTATCAATACCACCATATGTGAAGTTCTTCAACTGATGTATTTCTCTGAATTAAGTTTAGCTTTTATGTTTGAAAGTAAAGTTTCACAAACCATTTTTCATGTATTTAAATGAATACATTTGTTTTATGAGTGTGTTTAAATAGTTTGAAAACTTTGCATTAGACTTAAAACACAGCCTTAGAATTTCATAAAAAAAAAAAAAAAATTAATATTTATCCATGTGAACTGAAGATCCAACTCAATGATTATAAAATAGTATAGTTATTTTCGCTCGGCTTTGGTAACGCTTGTGTATTGTAAGCAAACACAAGGATTCTCCATTCTTTTAGAATTTTCCTAAAGGCGCAGCCAAACTAATGACTCATGCGGATAGAAACAAATTATTCAAAATTTGCAGGCTGTATGATGTATGAATATTAAATACAAAGGTGTGAGATTCCTAAATTAGGAAAGAAATTCCAAGTTCTCATAGATATGATGCAATAAACTTTACCGGCTTCAGGGCAAGACAAAAACCTTACAACAGATTTTCCAATCAAAGGATAACCGGTAAATACTGGATAAACTTGATGAAAAAGTATATATAAAAGCATATAATAGTTACCTTGACATAGTTCTTGAAATAGTGCCTTATTGATGGGTCGTAAAAAAACGAATCATTGGAAGAACTTAAGCCAACACCTTCATCCCATGCCCATTTAACATACTGCGTTTTGCCACCGTATGCTTGAAGGTTATTGACTAAACATAGCATTAGCCTTACCCCATACCGCCTTGACTCCGCAATAACATGATCCAAGGCCTGCCGTATTATTACATCAACTCATTAAAAAATCGGTTTCACACAAAAAAAGATTACGGCGCGATAAGTGGTAACAATTACAGGTAAAACAAAAACGAAGACGATGTCGTCAAAATTAGGTGGGCCATAGCCATAAATTGGGTAAAACAAACGATCAACTGATACAGGGTGAGAGTAATGAACGCAACTCCACGCGGGCACCGCAAAGTAACAACCTTTTTCTAGATAACGATCAACGAATTTCAGATTAAGTTTTTTACTTTCAACGATTTTACACACGTAATTAGCCTTACAAGTAGGGTAAAATGACAAGAACAGCAAACCTTACGAGGAAAATGTAATGATCAACTCAAATGATCCAACAAGTTGGATTCTAATGCTCTAGGGTCGGTAAGGGTGACAACACGACACAAAAATGAAAAGATATATAAACACGAATGAATTACACCACCCATATACTGCTCTATGTTCTCAAGTATCACCAAACTTCAGTTAAACTCAATTTCGACCACGATAATCTGCAAGAAAGGATAGTACTACCAGCAATCTGAATCTGAAAACAAAATTCACCAACTATACTAAGAAAATTTCTTACTCTGAACACTCTCTCATCAAACCGACCGGGTGAAATTTGTAGGGCATTATAGTCACCATCATTAAAAGCCCATGTTCTGCAAACAGTGAGACCCATCCTAGCACCAGCTTGCAGTATTGTCCTGATCCTATACTTGGTAGATTCATCCACGGCATGGTCCATCATCCAATATGAGTTCCACCCATTAAAATAGAAAGGCTTACCATCAACAAGGAACTGAGTACCATTTCTCTCCACAAAACTAAGTTGTACTTCACTGTGAATATTGATCCACAAATCACCAAAGGATAAGTATATGAAAGCCACACACGATGCAAAGCCCACGATAGGGTAGAAAACCCCATTACCCCCAAACATTTTGCTCTTAACCATCAAAAAAGGGTAATAGAACTAATTTTTTAGCTATAAAGAAGCGGAAGAAGGGCCAAGATTACGACTTTAAGCCACAAACAACCAAAAATAGCTAAGAAACAAGGAACCCAAAATGGAAACTGTTAATTTTTTTTTTTTCAATTTCGGATCTATTCAGTTCCCAAAATTAATGATTTGCAGAAAAAGACAAGGATTTTGAAGGGCAGCCCAGATCTCCGTAAAAGGGTATTTTCAAGAATTGGTTGGAAGGCAGTCCAAGTGTAATAAACCATCAACGAAACCTCAAGGTTCAGTGGCCATGGCAGAAACAGGTGTAAAGGAGATGATGACACTGTGTGTGAGTGTGAGGGTGCGTGCGTATCTGTTTCTGTGTCCTGTAAAAGGGTGAAGAAATTAGGGAAAAGGCAAAGCTTATATATACCAAAAATAGGAGAAAAGCGATATAATTGAGAAATTTTAATGTTTTTAACGAAGACGATGGTAGAATGTTGGTATCAATAGACTAGATCTGAAGCTTTTAATTTTAATTTTTTTTTTTAATTTTTTTTTTTTTTCAGATTTTGATAATTATGTTCTCAAGGGTCATTTCTGATGTAGGCCTTCTATCTTCGTCACAAGTTTTTTCTATTTTATTTTCTTAATCATTATCGAATATAAATGTTTAAAATAATATTTTATCCCTTTCTTGTTCTTTTTTACTATATTTAATAATATTCTCTTATCATGATCTTATAGCTATATCACTCTTCCTTTGAAAAAAATAGAAAATTCCAATTTAAATCAGGCATGACATTAAAACAAATAATATTGTTTTAGTGCAGTAAGACTCTTGTGGACATTTTTTTTTACCTAAAAAAATATACATAATATGATTTGAATGTCATACTTTATATATAAAGAAAAAGTATAAATATATATTTCTATTAAAAAAATATAACAATTCAAACGATAATCCTGACTAAATGGTTTCGTAACGGGACCATAGCATCTCCTAAGCTTGTGGATTTCAACAAAGAAAAGATGCCTCTGACTGACATTATGACTTTTGCTGAACCTTATTAAGTACAATTTGGTGCAGGGTCATTGGAAAGCATCAGTGCCCATGTGGGACTGAACTACATTAGGTATAGTGTAGTTAAAATGCAATAATAATTCTCATTATATATCTAAGCTCTTTTGTCTCTGTTGTCTTCTGTTTTGCTCAAGTGCAAGTGCAACATAACATGGTTTGGTGTGATAAAATGTGACTCTCCTTTATGTGTTTTACAATCTTCTCTTTGCTCTATGCATTGTAGTCAGAGAATAATTTCACAATATGAACATTGTAAGGTCAAATTCGTGCAGAAGTTCTAAGTTGCATAAGTTTTAGCATATATCATATGTAGAAAATTAAAAAATTTGATAAATAAAATAGAGAATTTTGAGGAAATATTGTTAGATGCTATTATTATGTGAAACCTTATAGTGGCGATCAGATGAGATTTTTTTTATTTTTTTTCTAGTTGGACATATTTTTTTTTTCTTATAGATTATAAATTGATACAAAATATATATATAGAAAAAACAGGATTTGTTAGACTGTATTTAAAAAAACAAACACGATATAAATTAATTTATACCGTTTTTTATCTCTTTTTAATTATTACATGTCATAAATCATAATGGCATATTTATATATTAATGTTGATGTTTATTCAATGAAAAAAAAAAGTCTACAATATTTTTTTAAAGAGTTTTAAACAATTTATAAAAGCCTTGAACAATATCACATGTCACGTATGGAATTTCTAATCATTCCCACAAAATCAACGAGAATTGATAAAATCTCATAAAACTCTATTCCTATCAAAATCTTAAAAAGTGATGTAGCGAAAGCGTGAACGAATGGGAAAAAATACGAGATACTCTTTCGAACTTGGGATACTCTCCCGAAAGAACACGATTAATTTTTCATTCTCAAATTCCACTCCAATAACAAATCATAGTCGCCCTTTAAATAAACTTGTAACCCTATGCTCAACTTATTTCCTAAGCTACTACTAATTATTAAATAATAATAATAATAATAATAATAATAATAATAATAATAATACTTATATTTCTTCTGCATCATTCTCTCCCGGTTGAGCATGATTCGCCCTCGAATCCGACCCGTGCCCGTTGGAGAAGTGTGTCCCGCTTCGTCCTCGATCAAACACGAAGCTTGAAGAACGCCCAACCACATCGAAGGTAAACATAAGTGTGGGCAAGAAATGAGCTAATGCAAAGGCACACGTACATGCCTCCATAAGCATATCCCACAGAGTAGAATGAACATCAAACATATCACAACGGTCGCCGCGCTCAAATTCATAATAATGGCCCACCATCCCGTTGAGGGGAGATTTCACGATACACAAGTGAAAAACAGACCACAAGGGATTCATTCTCGGCCCCCCAAAAACCATCTTTGGCTAAGATGTTCCGAAAATTGGGTCCAAATGATGGTTTTTCGGGAGAAGGGTCAATCGTGGCGATGTCCCACGTGGAGCTCAAAGTGTCGCCCCTATGTGTCTCCGGCACTGGAGGCTCGTCATAAAAAACAGGCGAACCGTCGTAAATTGGCCCGTCAACGTGATCCTCGTAAATGTCAAGAATCAGCACGAAACAGGCTTACCCGATGACCAAATTCGCGGCCAAAATCCCTCTGAACAAGCACATTCTATGTACCCACTTCACAGACCCAAAAATAAGGAAAAATGCTATCCAACCCATGGGACAAAAAAATTGAATTGGTCGTCCCTCGCTGGCCCAAAAGAATGAAAGAAATCTGGTTCTTTGATGCGTCTTTGCGCATCCCCCAAATCGTCCCATCGCTGCACCTTTTCCACGCCTCTGTGAAAACCGAAAATTTGAGCACCCATATGCCCAACCTTATTACTGCTGACTCGCCGCACATCGGCCCTGCGTGGAGGTCTGTCGAAAACAGCACTCCACCGTAAGTTCTGGTCCTGATTTTGGTCCCTCGATAATTCATCATAAACAACACCGGTCAACGGTGACGGTGGTGATCGTCGGCGGGGCGCCCCGCCGTAACCTCGACCCCCACGACCTCCGCGTATCCCTCTGTGATGGCCCCGGTCAGCCCCTTCGCGTCTCGCACGAGTCTCTTCCATCATGGTGTTCATGGCCAGACGAATCTCCTCAATCCCCGACGAGAGGTCCGTGAATCGGTCGTCCACTCCTTGGAATCGCTCTTCCATACGTTGGAAACGATCGTCGACGGTATTTAGCCCGACGGGCTGACCCGTTTAGCCCAGAAAAAAACAGGGTTAGGGCTTCTTATTAGTAGCGCGTTTAAATCAAGGCTTTTTAGGCACAGACCGTTTAAACCGAAGCCCGTTAGGGCTAGCCCGAAACCCGCTAGGGGTGGCCCGTTAGGGCTAGCCCGAAACCCGCTAGGGGTGGCCCGTTAGGGCTAGCCCGAAACCCGCTAGGGGTGGCCCGTTTAACTTGAGTTGGACATTGTAAATATTTGCAGCAAGTAAGTAATATACTCTTAGATTCATTGTATATTACAATTTTGCTATTCCACTTCACATATAAATACGAGTTGTAACGGATTATATTGATTTTGAAACATAATTATTAACAATATTATTATTTTACTCCACACCAAAATATTTAACTCAATCAGATCGATTAATAGGAAACAAATGAGACAAAGACCTAACACATGAAACATAGTATAGAATTTATAGTGATATAATATCGTAAAAATTTCCAAAGCGTACAAAATAAATAGTGAAATGGTAATTGTAAGTAATAATTCGAATATTTTTTTCTTTTGTAAAAAATATTATTTAAGAGTTTGTAGTATGTGTTCATATCTGATGTGTAGTTGTATATATAGAGCGACAAATACTAAATACCGTTGAAAACAATTGTTAATTAGTCGTTGTAATTTTTATAATTTTTTTCTTTTTATTTATGATATTTTTTGATACATTATTATTATTATTATCATTATTATTATTATTATTATTATTAATATTATTATTAAAGCCCGCTTAGCCCGTTTAGCCCGAACCTCGCTAGGGTTAGCTAGGGTTAGGTCATTTTATTGGTAGTCCATTTAAATTCGGACTTTTTAGGCCCGGACCGTTTAGCCTGAAGCCCGCTAGGGCTAGCCCGTAACCGCTAGGGCTAGCCCGTTTAACATCTCTACATATGATATCTAATGTTGCTTTGCATCTTCCAAAACTTGTTTTCGGTCATTGACAACTTTATGTTGTCATATCTAGAGTTAAGAACATACTTAACACTTGAAAATTTTGTGATGCCACAAGGATAGAAAAATTATAAGTATAACTAATAATGTTTGTACAAAGATTTTTTTTTTTTTAATTTGAAGTAAAATACCAATATATCAGTAGTTTTTGTTTTATGAAACTTTATTAATTTATTTTGTATATATATATTTACAATGACTAAACTCTTTTACTTTTTTTTTTCAATTTACTTTTTAATGCACTTGTATAGTACACGAGTGGCGTACTAGTTTAATGTTTATTGCAGCATAGTGTTACTTCATATTCACCTCACACCGATATTCAATTTTCTCAAAATATAACCCCTTGTGACTCGGTTAAAAAATTGTAAATCAACCCATCTTTCAACAAACAATGCATCAAACTATTTGCACTTCCCCAATTTTCCACATTTGTTCAGCTCATGAGCCGATCATCATATCAAATGCATGCCGCGTTTTATCATTAAGAAAGATGCATGCATATGTGATATGTGCACCCCAAAAATCATCATCATATTAAGTAAAGGAGATTCTACGGTCCAGTTACAGAACCATTTTGTCGGATTTTGTAACCGTTAGATCAACTATCTACGATGGTTACATAATAATCTAACGGTCACAAGTTCCGACGGAATGGTCTCGTAACGGGATTGTAGCATTTTCCATTAAGTAAAAGTGAAATTAGACATCTAAATTGAAATAATAATTGCTTTGTAGTTGACTACAATGGATCATGAAGGTGGTGTAGGCATTTTGAGCAACATGGATTTAAGTTCATTGAATTTTTTTCTTATATCTTATTATGTTTGTTATGATTGCTTATCTTTTGCCCAATCATCGTGTTATTTAATGTTGAAAATGAATTGCTTTAATTGGTTATACTTTTTAATAATCACATCATCCCAATATTAGTGGTTCAATAATTAATTAGTTACAAAAAATCATTTCAATATGATTCAATTGTTTATAACTGTATTGAGATCATCCATAGTCTATACACTGGTTTCCTTTTTTTTTATTTATTTATTTTTTATTTACGCGCGCGATGTAAGTATCAGATTTTTTTATATTTCTTCTTGTAGTGGCGGATGCTAGGTAAAATTAGGGAAATGTTATGGTCTTGTTATGCAACAATTATGGGGTTGTAACCGTTAGATCATCATGTAACTATCGGGGATAGATGATCTAACAATTACAAATCCCGATGAATGGTTCCGTAACAGGACCATAGTATCGCCTGATAAAAAATAAATGGAAAAATAACAGTGAGAATTATACTAGAAATATAATATATATAACTATCAAAATGCTCGGCCAAAGCCGGGTTTTAACTGGGCCAAAAAGAAAAAAATCTTCTCGTTATTTTCTCGAGGAATTTGCATCCTGCACGTTACTTCCAACTTTTTATTACATAAATAATGCCATCTTATAAATATTAGTAAATTGACTAGATCTATAAATTTTATTTGCAAAAATACCACATATCAAAGAAACAAATAATTAAATTTTGCGTGATTAAAGGTGAAATCTTATCACCTTCTAATAACTGCTTCCGATGCAATTGGTAAGAAAATAACCTCTCTTTCCCTCTCTCTGTTTTTTTTCTTCTTCGACCACGGACCTTCTACTTCTCTTCTCCATCTTCTCTCTATTTTCCCCTTTTCTTCTTCTCCTACTCTCTCTTCTTCTTCTACAAGCTTAATGACGAGATTTTTTTTTTTTGTTCGCGGCTCCTCAAAAATCCGTTGCCGGAGAGAAGTACGTGGCTTTGCCAAGCCTTCATCACCGGCGGCTTTTCGAGCTACGATTTCCGACGATGGGATAGATTCTGATGGTGAAATCCATCTCCTTCTCCCTGTCGCAAAATGGTCAGCCGACCGAAGCGACGCCACCAAGATACGCCCGTCGCCGTCGAGGAGGGGAAGAACTGATACCGTCGAATGAGCTTGCGAGTGCAGAGAATAGGGTCATGGCTGCGATTTTGGCTCCTGATCTTGGTCCTGAAATGAGAAATGGTTGAACATCGAGAGTATATTTTATGTATATTTTATGTATATGTGTGTCTCGATCTGTCACTGGTTTGAATTTCGAGAATCTCGAATGTATATCTTATGTGTATTTTATGTATATGTGAGTTCTGAAATCGTTTTTGAGAAACGATTGAAACTTTAGCGTATATTTAAAGTATATTTTATGTAACATTGTTCTGGTATATGTCGGGTATATATGAAACATTGTTCTGGTATATGTCGGGTATATATGTAGGGTTACATGTCTGGTTACATAACATTGTTCTGTTCTTGTATATTTCTGGTATATACGTAGGGTTATATGTCTGGTTACATAACATTGTATTGTTATTGTTACAACATGCAAAATCAAAAAAGAATTTTTTTTTTTTTTTTTTTTAATAACAACATGCTGAATTCACGGGGGAGGGAGAGAAGATGGTTTGGTTTGATAAGGTAATGTAAAGCATGAATTACGGGGAGAGAGAGAAGATGCTTAGGCATCAATATAATTATTTTTTATCTTTTAGGTATATACATAAATTTATGGGTTTCAATGGTGAAATTGCAATTACTTAAAAATCAATAAGTAGACATGAAAATTTCCCTATTTTCTCCATTGCTGAACCCATAATAGATTAATGAAAAATCTATGGGCCTATCAGGCCAACTGAGAAATGACTAAACCCAAAAGGCCCAAATAGTTTGAGGCCTTTGAATCATTATGTCAAGCCCATCAAATGATCAGGCCAACCCGGTGACAGGTGCGGTTAGATTTTTTTTTTTTGGGTTGTCCGCTAATATTTTTTAGAATGAATTATGATAGAATATAAATTTCAAAATTCGTATTTATCTCATTCAATTTAACTCTTCTCAATATATAAATATAATTAAATAATATCAATCAATAATTACTACACAATTTCTAACAAAAACCATTATTCATCTACTTACATATTTTTAATAATCAATCATTTAAAATTATCATTTTACTACTTTTAAATCATATCAACTTTAACAATTACATTTTAACGCAAGTACAATCTCATACTCAAAATATTTTCTACTCAAACAATTTTGTTCATGCTCATCTATGTTAGATGAGTTTATTCCTCCCAATTTTGGAATGGTTTCTTCATAAAATCATGTTTTCTAACTTTTCTCCCTAAATATTAGGGCAAGTAACACAACTTCCATTGTGGGATGATTTTAATGTTGGACAAGTCAATTCATATTTATTTAACAATAATACACAATTTACTATATGACATTATACTTTATATTTTTGTTTTTGTTGTTTTTTTAATTTAATTTAAAAGTATGGATACTTGTTTAAAAAATATGATCAAATTTTGTTTAACAATAAGATATATTACTTGTATTATTTTCCATTTTTCAAATGGACTAGAACTAGTAAAAATAATCAAATGGACACATTGAAATGCATATTGTATAATTTCATCATTATTTGTTAATTTTTTTGAAAGGCCTAATATTGTGAAGTTGCAAACAAACATCTTTTTTTCTTTGAAGTTATAGGAAAATGTTAAGGTTCCGTTACGGGATGGTTCAGTCAGTGTTATTCACAATTAGATATACATGTAGATTATGTTGTGTAGATAATCTGTGGTAACAAACACTGACGAAACTATTCCGTTAACGAGACTGTAGTCGTTCCCAAGTTATATGTTATTTCTATTTCATCAAGATTACAACCATTAATAGCAAAAGCTAATAGCCTACTTGGAATGAGAAAAATCAAATTGGAAAAAAAGATGGTCCAATTTTGATTGGGTGCTTGTCTTTTTGGCGCGTTATATTTCCTTCAAAACTTTCTATATGGCGATGGCGCCAAGTTTCCCGCCACACTCCGTCAACAACTCCCCATTACAAAGCTCACACACCACGCGCACTTCACATTCACACACAGCGCACACACACACATACACACACTCAACACATACAAACACACACAAGCAATCAATCATTCACAGTCTGCAACCATGGTCGTAGCTCTTGGCCCCGGAAAATTCTACGGCAGCAGCCTGCCCCGCCCCCGGTTCTACACCGATGTCAAATTCAACCTTGAGCGGATCGACCCGCCGCCCCCGGTCCTGGACCCGCTCATGTCATGGGCGATGGATGCCCACTGGTCTATGGGCGGCCTAAGCTTCAAGCGCCACCGCCTCCAGGGCCGAATCGAGGGCAAGGTCGAGAGGCTCCGAACCCAGCGCGAGCAGATCTCCACAAAATCCGCCAGTGATTCGCCTGCTGTCGGATCCGGTAAAAAAGGCGGCACCTCCCGGGTGAGAAAATCTCCTTCTCCGCCGCCGCCTCCGGTGGCTCTCAAGCGGCGCCGGGTTGTTGGGTTGATAGATGAAGAGGATGACGAGGAGGAGGTCGTTGCGCCGCCGAAGAGGGGGCCGGTGAGGAAATTGGGGGATGATTTCGAGCGGGTTGCAAGGGAGAGCGGGATCGGCGCCGCCAGTGGCGGCGAAGCTGGTGGTGCTGTGGCGGGGAGGACGAGGAGTAAAAGGGTTGAAATGGGCGCGGGTGCTGATGAGGGGAAAATGAAGAAAAAGAAGAAATTGGTTAAGGGAGGGAGAAGGATTGGGGCTGCGGTGGTTGCTGCCACCACTGGAAAGAGAAGCTCGCCGAGGCTGGCCAAGAGCGGTGGGTCATTATGAAAGGTGTTTGATGATATGCCTGAGAGGATAAATGAATCAAAAGGCTGAATTTATTGCTGATTCTTTTTTTGGCCATATTTTAATTTCTTGCTATACTCCGACTTTGCTTGTGCTTGAATTCCGATTAAGAAACACCATATCTGTTTTTAGTTGTGTAAAGCTTTGTGTTGAGCTCTACTTTGTTTGGCCTCAATAATGGAATCCCTGAAAATTAAATTCAAAAAATGCCTTAGACAGATAACAATCTATTAGTAAGTGTCCATCTTATTGCGATGGATACTCTGTTTTGGCTGCGTTTTTTGTGTATTGGATGAGTTTTCTGCTTATTAGATGATTTATTAGATGTTGTGATCTGTTCTAAGTTCTCTTTATGGACTATTTCATTGTAGATTATTTTGGTTTATCATTGAGGATTTTTCATTCAATAGTCTTCACAGATTGTCCTTTTGGTGACTTGCAAGGCGTTGAGAAAGTCCCCAAGTCCCCGTAGAACCTCAATACTCGAGCTAACATTACATGGGGATAGAAAATGAGAAGAATAATTTCCAAAGAAAATAGGGTTCTTCTGACCTCTTTACATTGTACTTGATTTATTTGAGCATTTTTTAAAGGATTTATCGAGATTTTGTTTCTTGTGACAACATTCACCTCAATAATAACTCCAATAAGGGTCAGTTTGGTTGGGCTGATAGGGTATGATATCACATTGTTTGTTATTGTATCACCGCGTTTATTGTGTTTGGTCGAACTTGTTTAGGCCATGAAAAATAAGCATGTCCCAGTCAATTATCATTTAACTTGTTTATATGCTATCATGCTCTCTGATGTTGGGATACCTTATACGTGCATTGCCAAATTAAAAGATCCCAAAATATCCCCAAATTATCTTTCTTTTCTTTTTCCTTTCATCCGTCCATCTTCTTGCTTTCCTTCTTCCTCCTTCCTCTTCTTCTTTTTCTTTCTATTTTCTTCTTCTTTCTTCTTCTCATTTTTTCTTTGAAAAAAATTCATGAAGCAACACAAGAGGCTTCAGTTCGAATTTGGTGGATTCTGAGTTTCGTCAAGCAAGTTGTCGGCAGAGTAGAAGAGGGCCCCGACGTCTTGAAGCCAGAGGCGGCGGACCTCGTCGCCGCAAAGTGGTGCCTCGAACAAGTGGTACTCCGCCGTCGCCTTGATAGCCATCATCGCATGCCTCTTACTCCTCTTGCTCCTCGTTTTTTTCGACTAAGCCCTAGATTTGTTTTTTCTTCATTTTCTTCTTTTTTTGCTCAACCTTATATGGGAGAATTTGTAAAACTTATGTTTTTAACAATTTTTATGTATAAATTGCTTCATGTTTATGGCTGCCGAGGATTTGCGAGGTGCAGAACTTGTGGATGCGGTTGAAGAATTGGGAACTACCATTTTCATTTTCTGAGCTCATTTTCTCAATTGTTGGAATAATTTTGAAAATTTAATTAAAAATGGATGTAAAAGAGTAATTTTAACTTGAATCTAATTATAAACCAAACAAGTTAATAGCCTAAATAAGTAGATGGATAGTCTTTGGAACAATAAAAAATATTGCACTATGCTCAATCAATTATTTTAACCAAACTAACCTTGAGAACATTTCTATTTCAAAACATAAGTCTCTTTCTAGAGTTCTCGTCTCTTTTCTTGAGTTCTCAGTTCCACTTAGTTGGATGTGATCCCTGTTGAATCCAATCTGTGTTCTATTTGATCTTTTCAGCTTTTAGATCTGATCCTTTGTTTTCCTTACTAGATCTATCCTTATTCTGATGTTCTTTTGATCTTCGAGGGTTTATTTGGTGTCTGTCTACTGTTTTAGGGTTGGGATTTTTCCTGTCCTTTTGTTATTTTCCTTGTCTAACCATATTTTTGGTGATTTGATCTTCGTAGGTTTTCTTTATCTCTTCCGATTAGCTTTTGTCAACTGTTGACTCTCTGGGATCGGGTAGCTTGAGAGGAGTCGGCAATATGGGATCCGAATTGGAGGAAGATTTCAAAAATTTTAGTCTATCTGCGAAAGAGGAGGGAGGGATCGAAATAGAGGAAGATGATATCAGAACCAGAATGAAAGAATGTTCTCTCAGCCTAATGGGAAGTTTATTTGGGGAAAAGAGGGCAAGCTTTTTGGGGCTCAAGAATACGCTGCAGAATATTTGGTTGACCAAAAAACCTTTCTTTTCAAGAATGGTGGGAAGTAACAAATACCAATTTATCTTCCAAACAACAGAGGATAGGAAGAAAGTCCTGGAAGGCAAAGCTTGGACTTTTGATGGGCAGTACCTATTATTAAAGGAATGGAGTGAGGAGAATAATGGTTATACTGAAGAAGAACACAAAGTTGAATTGTGGGTGCAAATTCATGACTTGCCGCTCCACTGGGTAACTGAAGAAGTGGGAATGAAGGTTGGGAAACTGTTTGGCAAAGTGGTGGATGTCGTGGTGCCAGAGATGGGAGGAGTAGGAGGAAGAATGGTTAAAATCCTCGTTGAACTTAATCTCAATGAGCCGATACTAAGAGGTACTCATCTCAAAATGGGAGGAGAATCCAAATGGGTATCATTCAAGTATGAGAACCTCCAGAATTTCTGCTACTACTGTGGAGGATTGGACACTCAGATAGATCGTGTGGCCAGAAAAAAGAGGATATAGCTGGGAATAAGCTTCATAGTGGACAATTTGGGGATTGGTTAAGAGCATCTCAGAGAGGTGGGGTAGGTCTTAGGGGGGGGGGGAGTTAATAGGTCTGCTGATTCTAAATTTGCTCAAGAGGGAAGGTTTGATGTAGGTTTAAGGGGAGTGAGTCAGCAGGGGGGTAGAGAATAGGGTAGTGACCAGAATAAGGCTGGGGATAGTAGGGGGGAGAGAAATATTCTGAGAGAGGGAGAGGTAGGTGTTGTTGAAGAATCCCAAGTCTTAGCCAAGGATAAGGTGTCTCTAGATAATAGCCCAGTAGTGAATCATAGTTATGAGGGGGTTTTGAATTCAGGGAGGGAAACTTCAGATTATACTGGAGTGGTCACCCCTGATTTGATGAAAGTAGATAATTTGGTGGCAGTTCCTGTTCAGGTAGCTACTAACAGAAATATCAATGATTCTCACTGTGAGGTAGTTTCTGCTATGAGTGATAGGAAACCTAGAATTTCAGTTAAGAAGGAAGGGAAGGATAAAAACTCATCTAGCTCTAATATGCCTTCTGATTCTAATAAACCTGTGGGGAATAAAAGGAAAAATGATATAGTGTTAGTGGATGCAGATGAATGTTCTAATTTGTTATAGAAAAAACAAAAAATGTCTAGTGTAGATAGGGAAGTTAGGGAGTCAGAATCCAATATGGTGGAGGTGACCAGCCAGAAATGGTCCCCAAATTTTCAATGAAGGTGATGGTGTGGAATTGTAGAGGTCTGGGAGGGCCCTCTACAATTCCCCAGCTGAAGGAATCAATGAGATTCCACCTTCCTGATTTGGTCTTTTTATCTGAAACTAAAAAGAAGAAAAGTTTTGTCAAAACTGTTTGTAAAAATCTTAAGGTGGGGGATAGATGGTATGTTGTAGATCCAATAGGTCTTAAGGGGGGTTTTCTTTTGTGTTGGTCAGATAAGATTAATATTTTGGATATTAATCCCACCTGTTTTGGATTAGTAGTGTGCTTTAGCTTACCTAATAATAATAATAAATTTTGGGCTGGGTTCATTTATGCTAGTACTTGTAGTGTAGAGAGAGAAGCTCAATGGCAGGCCATTAGAATACATAGGTTGATGTGGGGGGATTATTGGTTTTTTGGGGGGGGGGG